TGGTGGACTATCTGCGGTCTCGGGGACGGTCGGTGCTGGCTGGAGACAGTCTCCTGAAGTTCTCGCTGTGAGTGAAGCCTCCCCTGGGGGCGAGGGTGGGGTGGGGACAGGACTCCCTGTGACGGGAGCACCCTTCTGAGGGGACGTGCGACGGGCCCGCCCCCAGAGACGTCTGCGAGGCCATGGAATACCTGGAGGGCAACAACTTTGTGCACCGGGACCTGGCCGCCCGCAACGTGCTGGTGTCCGAGGACAACGTGGCCAAAGTCAGCGACTTCGGCCTCACCAAGGAGGCCTCCAGCACCCAGGACACGGGCAAGCTGCCGGTCAAGTGGACGGCCCCCGAGGCCCTGCGGGAGAAGGTGGGCAGGCTCTCCCTCCGGAGACTGAGCGGAGGGGGCGGGCAGGGTCTGCCCCCCGAGTGAGCCCCAAATCTGACACTGAGTCCCTCTCCCTCTCCCCCTCCCCTCCCCTCCCCCTCCCCCTCTCCACACGGCAGAAGTTCTCCACCAAGTCCGACGTGTGGAGTTTCGGAATCCTCCTCTGGGAGATATACTCCTTTGGGCGAGTGCCTTACCCAAGAATTGTGAGTGTGGGTGCACGCTGGGCCGGGGCCTCGGGTCCTGGGCTTGCCGGGGTGGGTCCCTCCGGAGCCTGCAAGCTGAGTCTGAGGCAGCAGGGAGGGGGATCTCTGGGGAGCAGATGGTGGAGAGGGGTCCCCTCAGCCCAGGGTCAGACGCTGCGGGGCTGACACCACCCCTCGCCCACAGCCCTTGAAGGACGTCGTCCCTCGGGTGGAAAAGGGCTACAAGATGGACGCCCCCGACGGCTGCCCGCCCGCCGTCTACGAGATCATGAAGAACTGCTGGCACCTGGACGCCGCCGTGAGGCCCTCCTTCCTGCAGCTCCGCGAGCAGCTGGAGCACGTCAGAGCCCACGAGCGGCACCTGTGACCGCCCACCCAGGCTGTGCGGCTGGACCTGCAGGGACTTGGGGCCTGCTGCCCTGCTCCTGGGCCCCAACCGGAACTGAGCCCCAGCAGGCCGGGGGCTTCCTTCCTCCGCCCCAGCCCGCACCTCCCCCGCTCCGGTCCCTCAGGGACCCCGCCTGGGCGGGGCGCCTTCTCATGGACCCACTGAAGAGGCCAAGAAGGCAGGAGACAGAGGAGCGGGAGGCAGGTGCCCGCCCCGTGGCCAGCACCCCCCGCCCCGAGCCTCCCATGTCTCGCCTTCTAGAGTTTTATTCCTTTCAGATTTTTTTTTTGAGATTTTTTTTCCCGGTGTGTTTATTTTTTATTATTTTTCAAGATGAGAATAGAAAGTACCCAGCTCATGGGCATTTTACAAGAAGTACGAATCTTATTTTTCCTGTCTGCCCATATGGGGAGGTGGGAGGGCACCAGCCCCTCTCTCGGGGAGCTACATCCCACCCGTGTCCCAGCCCCATGTCGCGTGTCCCGTGTCGCCTCGGCCGCCCGCCCACCCATGCTTGAGCTTCACCGTGTTACACTGTCTGCATGCGCCCAGGCAGCCGTCGTCAGGGGCTTGGATGTCGTGTCCCGCTGCCACCGCCCACCTGCCTGTGAGATGGAATTGTAATAAACCGCCCCATGAGGACACTGCTGCCCTGCCGGGCGCTTCCTCCACCGAGCCTCTGT